CCACTACACAGAACACAGTGGCACGCAGTGGCGCACACACACAATGGCACAAAGACAGAGCCCCCGTGTAGCCTCAACATACTTTTGGGAGCAAATGCTGTTAGCGAGCACCTATGAAGGCCGACACGGCACACGAGGGGGTTGGTGGCCAGCACCACGCCCGGCTGCCTTTGTCTCCCCAGTGGCGATGTTTACACACCGCACGAGGAACTCATTTTAGGCTTAGTCGACGTAGGGGAGGCCCAGGAACAGTTGTTCAGACAATGGGCGTGCACACAGTGGCACGTGGCAAATGAATTACCCTGTGAGTCGGCGATGATGTTCACAACGCGCTCACAGAACATAAGGCTTGTGTTGGCACCGAATTGCACCGTGGACTAAAAATATGTTCGCCAGATGCCATGTTCGCCTTGGCTCTATTTCCAAAGTAAGAGAAGCCCCGTCATTCACTCTGCATTGCAATTGTCGTGTACGCACACAAATACACTCAAGTCCCCCGAGAATAATAATTAAGCTCAAGATTAAATTTTCCACGGGCAAATTCTCCCGATACGTTTGGACGGGATCTGATTTCACTGCCATTCCACCCTTGCCTCGGGTCACACCCATAATTTCAGCAATCACGTGCTTTGTTTTGGATATCCACTCTAATTGGATCATTAAAACAAAAAATAAAGCTTAAAAAGGTGGTGTTATGTTTGTATTTTTTGTAACGGTATGAATTAGTTATTCCCACTTAGGTGGAATGGGTGCCTTTCAAAGCTAATTTCCCAGCATCCGACCTAAGCAATTGGTTCTCAGGATAAATGTACAACCCTGACTGGGACGCATTCATCTCCATTTCAAAGGTATAGTTCCGAGAGAGGTTGTGCGAGTTAAATGGCAATTAATTACCATGGTTCGATTCTACAATTCTCAAGGTTTACCATAACACTTTATAAATTACAGTAGTCCATTGGTAAACAGTGACATCGGTTAACTTTTTTTTTGTTAATGTTTCACCTCCGGTAGGACCCTCATGGGTTCGACTAACGTTAAAATGTTGATTAACGGCACGTTTACACCTTATGCACACGGGCGCCAATTTCGGCCATTTCGAGCGCTTGTAATTGGGGCTGAGCCATGGCCTCATCCAATCAGCAACGCCCATTTGTGAGCGTTTATATCTCGACTGGCTTTGTTTACATTGTGTTTTCTCGTTAAATTATGTTTTCTATTAACATGTAAATTCCTATATTCGATTGACAGTTTTTTCAGCTGACAGTAGTTTTCGTGAAATGGAGAGAAAAAAACGTTCACCCGAGGGACTGCTGTATATTAATGGGTTTTGTTGCTCAAAAATAACGATTACATGTAGATGCATGCTTTGTACTCGAAATTAGTTTCGTACTATATTTGCTGAATGTTCTCAAATAGGCAGTCGGTAGGTCTAAATGAAGCCGCTAAACAACAGCCACTGAAAAAAGTGATTTGATAATTGCCTCACTCCAAGTAGCATTTTTTTTTTAAAATTAAAATACAAACTTCAGATTTTCACAGGCAACATCTTTTCTAAAAATCTATCGAAAAAAATTATACATGCCAGGTCTTTGTCGTAGCTGCATCGCGACGGAATGTTAACAAGCAAGCCGAATTTAATTGTACAGAGGCGTTGCTGGCGATTACATACAGCTTCCTCGGGCGTTTCACAGAAGTTCAGCCCTCGCGGGAAATTGTCAGAATCTTGTTTGTATTCAACATACCTTTCACGACGCCCAAAACGGGCGATGGTAAAAAGCCTCGCAGTTTGCACCACTGAAGGAGAAACGGCGCGACAATTCATTCTCGAGACTGATATGGAGCAGTTTCCGACAGTTTGAAGGTCTCTTGAAAATTAATTTTGCCGTTTGAGTGGCATTCCCTCCCCCCCCACTGAAGAAACGCGGGGTCAAACTGCACGACGAATGGCTTGTAAATGGGCATAATAGTGTTCAACATGAAAAAAACATTCGTAGATAATCTCGGGCGATAAGGAAATGTAATATTGACGGAACGCTAAACATTTTTTTTCTTTCTTGGACTCTCGGAGCTTTGCTGTGAGGGTCGTCTAGCAGGAGAGAATATCTAATTAAATTCATCGTGCAACGCGGCGGGAGGTGGGATGGAGGGAGGAGGGCAAGGGGGCAAGGAATCAGTAACCTCTTCAAAGACATCATTTTTCTTTGCCTGGCCTGCTAATTATTTTTGCACCGACTGACAATCTTTTTTGTTTATACGGAGCACAGGAAAAACATAAAACAACCCAAACTAAAAGCATTTTGTAAGTTATTGCATGAATAACCCTGACCACCAGGCACAAGTCAATATTTAAAAATGCAAAAGGCAAAATATCGTTAAAAATGCAAACATTAGGATTCCCACATACAGCATGTAATGCGCCTTTTTAAAATAAGGCTAATGAAACCCTTGGCAGAGAATGCCCTCGAGATGGAGCTTTTGGAATAAATTAATAAAAAAAATCACTTAAATTCTGTAATGAGCTGGTAGGGGGGGGGGGAGCAAATGTTTGTTTAGACTTTCCGTGAGAGGCAAGGGTGAGCAGACCCAGGGAGGCGGAGGAAATCTCCGCGGGATATTTTCCAACGGTTCCACCACCGGTTGTCTCCGGGATCGAACGCGGAAAAACCGAACGCACGTCACCAACATCGCTGGTGCGATAGCAACACAAAAATGCGAATCCTCGCCCCCCCCACCCTCCACCGAGACATCTACAACGTGACGACATGCCCGCGTGTCCAGACGCGCGCGTTGCAGACGTGCGCTCACAGAATTCCACTTGTAAGGCCACGCTGGTGTTTTTTTTTTTTGGTGTTTTGGCTGGAACCGGGCTTCTGTTGGTGTAACCAGGTCCCCATTAAAAAATGTTATTTTTAATTTCCCACTGGGTTTTACTTGCGCCCAAACAAAACCTACATCTAAGATCTATAAAACGTGTAAATGCTGTGGTGTGTGTACAGCCCCCCCCCCCCCACCCCCCATTTTTTTTCAATCCACTGCTGGATGAGGGTCTCCCTAAAAGCATGCAGATCGTGGAGGTTAAACGACCACACTCCACCCACGCTGGTCAGCGCGAGTTGGCAAAAGGCGGCCAGCATGGACTCCCGGAGCATAGACGTACAGTAGAACAAAATGTGCTTTTGCGCGGTCTGTTGACCACCACGTATCCACCCACAACAACCTCATGTGCACGGTGGAATGGTCACTCATACAAAAGCTATCCAGGCTCAAACTCGCTTAGCTTCCGAGGTCGGATTAAATCAGCCGCAAAGCCGGGTCATTTGGCCCTAGGCAGGTCGGCAAACACTTGCACATACGATTGATCATAGGTTGCTAGGGGTCAGTGTGGGGGGGGGGGGGTTAAAGCATATAGAGAGAACAAAGTAAGCTCTAGGACAGCTGCCCCTTCAGTCTCTATCTAGTCACACCCACGGTGCACTGGCTTGTGCACAACATATTCCATTGCTTGCCATCTTCAATATCAATTTTGTTTGAAATACGGTGGCTGTACGCCTCAAGGTTCTGTGCACTTGCCAATCTTTATTTTTTTACCCCTTTTTTGGACACCGAATTTTGCCCGTGTGGTATCCTGTCTCGATTACATTTTTATTTTTATTGTCAAGTCAAAATCCAGACACGTGCATTATTACCAAATAACAACGAGCCGCCCACACGCACGTGTCGCTGACATATGGGGCAGACTCAACGGCTTTTAGCGCGGTGGCGGCTGCAAGCGGTATTTGTAACTTATCAACAACAGCGCCGGCAGGGTTCAGCTTACGCGAGAGATCACTGCGTTCGCACGGTTTCATTTGGCGTTCATATTTGAGCCGCAGAGAGAACGACGGAGTCCGTCCCCCCCCCCCCCCCAACGCGTCTCGCGCACAAGGATACTGCAAGGCACCCCCCCGCCATCCAAAGCTCGGCCGCGCGAGCGTTATCAGCATCCCACGCGCGACCACTGGCACCACATGCATTCATATGCCAGGCACACGAGCACCGCGCACTGTACGCACGGCCGTGTAGTGGCGAGAGGGCATGTGTAGTGGCGAGAGCGTTGTTAATCGTCGCGGTTCGGCGTCTTCCCGCGGACACGAGGCGAGCGGGCGTTCGTTCGTTTGTCCGGCGCCGTGCGGGGGGGGGTCGTTTTAATTGCGTTAGACACAATGGGCAGAGTTGAGTGCGCTCGTGAATCAAACACACGCGCAGGCGCGATTGAACAGATACGCCGGGCCCAGGGCGGTATTACAAGGCTCATTGCCCACGATGATCCCACGGACGGACCAGAACAAAGTAGCCGTGCTGCCGACTGAATAGGAGCGGCGTCGGGAAAATTGTCCATTCGGTGGAAAGTGTAAGGCGCGTGTGAAAGCCCTGTAAAGCCCCGGTCAGGATCATTGTTGTATGCGTCGAAGTGAGGACAAAATCCCACTGTTGCACTTTTGATTATTTGAGCTGAGAGAAGAAAAAAAGTCAAATAAATGAATGGAAAACACATGACAATAATGCAGCAGCACTCTTTACATATTTTTTTCTTTCTGCAGGCCCAATGAAAACATTTGTGCCTGGACATGGGAAACGCTCATGCGTGACACAATTCCAGCGTTGCGTTACAAACCTGTGCAATAAACAACAGTCGGCTGTGACAGTATTATCTCTGCGACAGCTGCTACTACAGCAGCAAGACGAACAAGACCATGACGATACGTTCCGCTGTGTATTCACAAGTCTATTACGGTTAACCAAACCTGAACAACTATAGCTTTATTTGTTTGCTTTTGTTTCATCGAACGAGGTTGCCAACAGATCAGCATTCATCGTGAGCGTGCGAAACAGAGCTTGCCTTCCTCGCACCGTGTGTCCACCGTAACCTGTGTTATTTAAATTCGCTACAGCGACAGACACGCGGACGGATGGACACACAAGGAGCAGAGAGGTGCAATTGCGGCGCGCCGCGTACTCACACGATCTCGTCATTGTGAAACTCGAGCTCGCCGAAGGAATCCTCGTAATCGTCGCCGCTGCCGCGCGCCGTCCCCTCCATGGTGCGGTACGGAACGACGACGGTGCCGCGGGCGCCCGACGTCCTCATCACCTTCGCCTCCATGACGCCGACGCTCTCGCTCACGCGCATCACCTTCTCCTCGAACATGAAGATGCCCGCGTGGTCGTCGTCAAAGATGGTGACCGTGGCCACAGTGGGCTCCACCAGCAGGGCCTTCGGCAGGCTCACGTGGTTGATCTCCGGCCCGTCCTCCGTCACCTCCGCCTCGACGTCCGAGAGGCGCACGTAGAAGTGCTCGTCCTCCTCAAAGATGTCGTCGTCGATGATGCTGATCGAGATCTCCTTCTGGGTCTCGCCCGGCTTGAAGACGATCTTCCCCTCGCTGAACTCGAAGTCCGAGCCGGCCGTGGCGGTCCCGTTCTCCGTCTTGTAGCGCACGCTCACGAAGCCGCTCGTGTCGCCGCCCTTGCGCGATACCGTCAGGATGCACGAGCCGCAGTTCTCGAAGCACTGGTACGCGCCCGGTTCGAAGCAGATCTTGCTCACGAAGTCGCTCTCGCCGTCGCTCTCGATGTTCTGGACGCTCATGGCCTTGCGCGCCTGGTCAGCCGCGTGCTTCTTCAGAATGTTGCCGGCACCCGTCATCATGCGGATCGCCTGAATGCGGTAGAACGCGCGGCTCTTCTGCTGCTGGGTGAGCGCCTGGTAGTTGGCGAGCTCCACCAGCTGGTCCAGGTCCTTCTCGGGGTACTTCTGCTTCAGCTCTTTGAGCAGCTTGATCATGTCGCGCCGGCTCTCGTCGATGTCTTTCTCCTCCCCGTCGACGAGCATCCCGTCGGGCACGACGTCGGTCTCGTAGTTGAGCATCCTGCCGTCCATCTCGATGTTCATGCGGGGCCGGTCGCCCTCTGTCTCGATGATGATGCCCCTGTGCTTGTCGGCGCGGTACTTCTTGTACATGTACTTGTAGAAGAGGAGGCGGCGGTCGGCGACCCAGGCGAACACCACGCAGATGGGGAAGAACATGAACGTGAGCAGGGCCTCCCAGATGTCGACGACATTCGGAGAGATCACGGCCAGGATCAGGTAGAGCCAGATGTACGCGAAGATGCTCCACGCGGCCGTCACGAAGAACACGCGCAGGTGCTTGATCTTGCGCGTCTCGCCGTCGGGGATGGAGTACACGCAGATGGCGATGATGACGAACATGTTGAAGGCGGCGCTACCGACGATGGTGCTGGGGCCCAGGTCGCCGGCTTCGAAGCCGTGGCCGCAGATCTCGATGATGGAGAGCAGGATCTCGGGGGCCGAGGAGCCCAGGGCCATCAGCGTGAGGTTGGAGACGGTCTCGTTCCACACGCGTACCGTGGTGGTGGTCGTCTCACCGTCGGGCCGCTTGATGGTGATCTCCTTCTCCTGCGACGTGATCACCTCGATGGAGGCCATAAAGCGGTCGGCGATGATCGACACTCCCAGGAACATGTATATGAGAGCGACAAAGTACACAATCGCTCGGGCCACCTTGTCGCCGACCGACGGATTGTTCGGCACCCATATTGGGAGGATGATGCCTCTCGCGCATTCGTAGGAACCGTAGCAATCCTTGGTGATGTTGGCTCTGCTTTTGAGGTAAGGGTCATCGGAGGAGTCCGCCGCGGTGATCAACTGCCCGAGCAAGACGATCGCTCCCACGCGGAGGCACAAGGAAGTCCTGATGCCGAGGGTCGCCCTGGCCATTCTTCCTTTCTGTTCTTTCTCGGAAGAAATGTGAGAAGACTCGTCGCTCCTGAGAGGGACGTCCCGGTCGTCACCTGTATCGGAAAAAGATAAAACTTCTTTAAAGATGATTTCGAGAAGACGAAGAAAACAGTGCGGCCGTATTTCCCAACTATTAAACGCAACACCCCCCCCCCCCTTTTTATTTTGAAGCAATTGCTGGGGCTGCGTCTTATAATCCAGTAGGTCCGTGTCCTTTTTTTTTAATCACACGGTTTCTGAGCACAGGTCCAAAGATCAGCAACAAGCAGCTATATGGAAGTTGTAAACACGTTTGTTGAATGAGCAAGGTTACACGAGCTTAAGTAAAAGGGACAAGAGATGTTTATAACTTTATTAGTACCGGCGCATACGTTTGAGGTGCATGTTACTTTCCGGTGCAGCGTATAGTCGAGAGAATACGGTAATTTGAGGAGGCCACAGATCACTCGTGAGTAACGGGTACGAACGTTGCTTCATTTCACCTGGAAAAAGTTTGGAACACTGTTCTGGGGAATATTACGGTATGCTGCATCCATCTGGTCCGATTTTTGTCCTCGATTTTCTCCTATAAAACTAGTACATGTGATTATAGGAATATAGGGTAGAATAATATAGCATTAGTATGGATAGGCGTATCTTAGTACTCTAGTGCTAGTGCCTTATGGGCGCCGTGTCGGCAATATGTTAACTACCTTGCCTGGTATACAGGTAGTCGTGGGTTCGAATCGAACCCTGACACCCGTATATTTGCAGTTTGCATGGTTTCCCCGTGGTTTCGTGGATTTTACTCCAGGTCTTTCAGTTTTTCCCTTCACATTTGGAAACATGTGTTTAGAGTATTTGGCTGCTATACGTTTCCACAAGATAAGCCACTTTGTTGAATATATCATTTGCAGCCAGGTCGCTTCTGAAAAAGAGCTACACAGCTCAGTGGGGCCTTTTCTGATCAAATAAAACACAGTTATAGTTAGCGATGCCGATAATCCTACTCCAAGGCAGCCTAGGTAGGCAGCGTTCTGGAAAATATGGAGTGAGAAATTAATCCCTTGGTGCGAGCGATAATGATCCCATATATAGCACAACATTCAGCGATGACCTGAAGGGACCTTTTACAGATCTTGGCTTGCGAGCAAATTCTTTGACAATTGGCTTTAAAAACCACTTGGTTAAAAAAACAAGACGGTGCGCACATGAATCGGGTAACAGACACACGGTTGGCTACGTTTGGTGCGAAAGAAGTTCAACATACATCCGTTGGGACAGATGCTGTTAGCGAGAAGCACCTATGAAGCCCGAGACGGCACACGGACGGATTGGGTGGACAGCTCCACGTCCGGCAGCCTTTGTCTCCCCAGTGTTGATGCTGACACACTGCTCATTTTAGGCCGAGTTGCCCTAGGCAAGACCCAGGCCCGTTTCAAACATTTGCCACTCTTATTGGGACACAAGCGAAGCAGGAAAATGGAGCACGGGCCGGTAAGCTCGTAGGACAGTGCGCTCCAACACTGCGCCGCTTCCCACCAATGAACAGGTAAGCACAAAGACAAAGATCCCCCGTATAGCCTTAACAGACTGTAGGGGCAAGTGCTGTTAGCGAGCACCTATAAAGGCGCACGGAACACGAGGAGGTGGGTGGCCAAAACCACGCCCGGCCGCCTTTGTCTCCCTAGTGGCGATGTTTACACATCGCACCAAGTGCTCATTTGATGCCGAGTCGACCTCGGGGAGGCCCAGAACCGGTTCAGAAAATCGTCACCGGTATTGGCCGTGAGCGGGAATCGAACCCAGGTCGCCAGGTTCGTAGAGCAGCGCACTAACTGCTGAACTACCGCTAACCACTCACGTGCGTGGATAATTTGAGCTCTTGTCTTGCGTCGCCCAACAAAGGAAAGCCCTAAAGCGTTGATGCCGCGAGGTTTCATCCCGTGGACTTCCAAGTGCAATCGCCAGGCGTTTTTGCCTTAAGGGTAGAGATTCTGCTGCTGGTGCTCTGGAAGAGCTGTGGCACCCGGATTATTGGGCAAATCATCATCGCAAGAATGACGGCAAAATAATATGGCTCGCGTGTTAACGCCACAGAGCGTTAACTTGTTTATAATAACAATTGCGTTGAAAAGTGTCAATCCCACGCTGGATGAGGACCTCCACCATGCAGAAGGTTGGATGGAGGGTGAATTATAATAAAGGTTTTTGGGTTATATCGCGTTATTTATAAATGTGTCGTAACCCTCCAGCACCCGACACGGCCAATCAGCAAAAAAAGTGTCACGTTGACAAAAGACAAATAATTCACTACTTTAGCCACCGGTGTGTTGAAGAGTGAATCCATAACATTTACAGTGAATTATTAGTTAATTATTTGTCTTTTGTCAACGTGACACTTTTTTTGCTGATTGGCCGTGTCGGGTGGTGGAGGGTTACGACACATTTCTAAATAACGCGATCTAACCCAAATAACCTTTATTATGAATAATATTGGTCGCGAAAGCCTACGTGTTAAATTGGAGGGTGATTATTTGACCAAACTTCACCACGATGGTCAGTGCGGGTTTGTTGAAAGCGGGATAGCATAGAAATATTGTACAACCGCGCATGTTGCTGTACTGCCTGCTGCTGCCAACCTCGTTAATTACGCAGCCGAGAACACCCGCTAGGCATTGTGGTCACATATCCAATATTCAGGCTCAGCACTGCTTAGCTCCTGAGGTCAGGTGCATTGTGAATGATTTGCTCATAGGCAGTAACTGTAATAATGCGAATTAAATACTCAGGAAAGCCTCGCCGAGTATCATGACTGCTTCTCGGGAGGGTCCTGCTACATTGGGATGCTTGGTCAATTTCACCCGTGCGCGTTTGGCTTTTCACGCTGTATACGAGGGGGTGGCAGCACTGCCATCTCCTGGCTGCGTCACAGCCCCCGTGGCTACAGCACTTGGCAAGCCCTCATGGTTACCCGTTAAATCACGACACAGGCTCAAATCAGCTTAGACAACAACATGTAACAGGATCAGACACATTCCGGATGATTTTACAATATCTATGATCGATATTAATCTATCAGACTCTTTTTATATCACCAGGTAAGGCGCACTGAGCTATATAGCTCTTTTTCATAAGAGGCCTGGTCACAAATGATGGCTCAACGAATTGGCTTATCATGTGGAAGTGTATAGCAACCAAATAATCGAAACGCGCGTTTCTAAATGGAGGGGGAAAACCGGAGGACCCGGAGAAAAATCCACGCGACCACGGGGTGAGAGACGTGCCAACTCCAATAATGCAGGCGTCAAAGTCAGAATCGAACCCACAACCTCCTGAATACCAGGGCGAGGGAGTTAACATCTCGCACCAAGCGAGCGGACACCAATCTATACACATACCGCCCTTCTGTGAACGCGCCGCAAGGACGAGGCTCTCCCGTACACCGTATGCGACTTGTGGGACCTATTAGACCGCACTTCGCCACGCCGGCGAGCGCGAGTTGGTGAAGGCGACGGGGGCCGGTTTCAGAACGCACTCGCCGATAGTTGTCTCTCATCGACTGTTGAGCAACTCGTTTTTTGCCGTTTCGACATCGTGCGCCAATTTGAGCCCGTGCGCTTTTGATTCGTTCCGGCAACGGCAGCGACATTTCCCAGCCAGCCCAGCCACCCACAAATGCCACCAACCCGTCACCGTGGGTCTCTCACTCCCAGCTGCGCGAGTATTTTTGCAATACATTTTCATGTCAGGCTCGTCTATGCAGTCAGCACGTTGTAATCGGTGGTTCAAATCGTGTTTTGCTCATTATCCTCTGCTGCATGCGTAGTCTGGGAACTGCCTTCTCCCAGCCCTCCGTGCTGTCGTCTTCCCTGGCTCGAGTCCCACATTAAATGAAGAGCTTCCTCGTCTCCCTCTGCCTATGACTGCCTCTCTCCATACATAATCGATACTCTATGCCGACCGCTTCTTTTCAGCATATTAAGACGCGATCCGTCCATTGACGCTATCTAAATCGACACTGTATTCACTCACAGGGAGACCCATAGACTCACAAAGGGACTCACAGACTCACGCAGACCAGCAGAATCCACAAAAGACCACCCCCCCCATAGACGAATACAGAGACCCCCCCCCCCCCGAGACTCGCACAGAGATCCACGGATTCACAGTGATATCTAGACCACATCTGTAAAATGCATGCGCCCACTGTTCCTGTAGAGCTTCTTGACATGTCGCATTTATAGGCACTGCTAAATAAGTCCACATTGTATTGCACTGCACCTGCCACTCACTCGCGTACGACAACCATCTTACATCGCCTGTCACAGCGAGGCACGACATTCCTCATATATAGACCTTCCGCAGACGGCTGGGAGCAAGTGCTGTTAAGCGGCACAACGAGGGCGTGAATGTGACCAGCACCACGCCCGGCCGCCTTTGTATCCCCGGTGGTGATGGTTACACACCGCACTAGCTATTCATTTAAGGCCGAGTCGACCTAAGGGGGGGTAGAGGAGGGGGGGGGCAGAAGGCCCTGGACCCGTTCAGATATTCATCACCGCTGTTGGCCGTGAGTGGCCAGAGACCTCGGGTTGCCTTGGGTCGGTAGCGCGGCGCGCTAACGACTGCGCCACCCACCACTCTCCACGTCGCCTGCAACCAGGGCGCGTAGATAGACACACACACACGATACAACACGTGTCGTGTGTGTGTGTACTCACGAGGCGATGGTGCCATTGACTCTAGCGCGTGAATTAAGCGCCTCTCTCTCTCTCGTCGATCGACATCCGTGGTAAGCCATCGGCGATTGCGTCGCGAGCCTCAGGCCGTTGATGAGACGCAGGCTGTCGAAACTGCCCCCGAGTTTTACACTTGCACTTGACACAATGCTGCTGGATATTAGTTCGACTGGAAAGCCAGCGGTGGGGCTGTTTGGGCTATGAATGTGTTACGCGCATACACGTGGTAGACACTTAGCGGGGGGTGAATATACTCGATTCGTTTTTTTTCCACGGCGCGCTGCAAATACATTCACTCCCCTTTGACGTCGGGTTGTCTTTGCGCCCACTCATCATCATCACCACCGCCACCATCAACCACTGCGACTACAACTACCACGAGTGCCTCCGCTGTGATCCCCGTTGTCCATTTCACCGTGGAGTTGCGGCGCTTTGCTTGAGCGCACGTCGTGATGCGCGCTCACTGATGAAGCTGCCGTGTTGCTACTAAACTACTGCTGCTGCTGCTGTCGTGTTGCTGCTACTTGCTTCCTGCCACTACCTGGTGGCCAATGGACGAAAGCAGGCAGCGAGTGAGGGAGACAACGACGAAGAGGGGATAACGTACCTGTTTGACGCGATCAGCACGCCATCTCACTTGCGCCCAGCGCGGCTGCCTCTAACGGATGATGACGACGCTGTTGCTGTTGCTGCTGCTGCGTGCCTCCACGCACACACGGTTGTGTTCTGCGCGTCTCCCTCCTGCTCCTCCTCCAGTCGCTCTTCGCTTTGCTCGGCGGCTGGGGTTGGGCTTCGTGTGTGGTGGTGGTGGTGGTGGGAGGGAGCGGTGGCGCAGCGGTTAGCGCGCACTTGTTCTACAAACCCGGCCACCTGCTGAAATTGATTGCCGGCTGTCGGCTGCCGAGGATTATTGTCTGAACCGGTTCTCGGACTGGCCTGCCCGGCCTGCCCTGCAGTCCTCCTCTCCGTGGGTGAATAAACAACATCGGCACCGAAAAGACAAAGGCGGCCGCGCGTGGTGCCGTGTAATTTCCGTGTGCTGGGATCTTTGAAGGCGCCTCTATGCTGTGTGGATGAAACGAGAGAGCCAGAGAGGGGGGGGGGGACCGCTGATTTTGACTTTATCATTTTATAGGGCGTGCTGTGGGGTGAGGGGAAGGCGAGAGCTAAAAATAATTGAAAGCAGAAGGAGGTGATAATGCATTTTCTCCGTGACAGAAGCACCCGTGTACAGCAACCGCCAGTCGCGTTGATTTGGCCACGCGTAGACTCGCATACAGTGAGGGGAAAAAAGTATTTGATCCCCTGCTGATTTTGTACGTTTGCCCACTGACAAAGAAATGATCAGTCTATAATTTTAATGGTAGGTTTATTTGAACAGTGAGAGACAGAATAACAACAAAAACATCCAGAAAAACGCATGTCAAAAATGTTTTAAATTGATTTGCATTTTAATGAGGGAAATAAGTATTTGACCCCTCTGCAAAACATGACTTAGTACTTGGTGGCAATACCCTTGTTGGCAATCACAGAGGTCAGACGTTTCTTGTAGTTGGCCACCAGGTTTGCACACATCTCAGGAGGGATTTTGTCCCACTCCTCTTTGCAGATCTTCTCCAAGTCATTAAGGTTTCGAGGCTGACGTTTGGCAACTCGAACCTTCAGCTCCCTCCACAGATTTTCTATGGGATTAAGGTCTGGAGACTGGCTAGGCCACTCCAGGACCTTAATGTGCTTCTTCTTGAGCCACTCCTTTGTTGCCTTGGCCTACACACCTGTCACAGGTCTTGTGTAGGTGAGAAGCATTAGACGTGGGGAGCATAGAAGTACAATACAACAGCGGATATACCGTACGACACTCACTGCCATTTGTTGCCGAACGCATAACCCTCGCCCGGCCTGGTTCTGTCCATAGCGGTGACCCATCCAAATACTACCCAGGCTCAACCCGACTTAGCTCGCCAGATCCGATGAGATTTCGTGCTAATTCCGAGTGATTTGGTGGTGGGCGCACTTTCTTATACATGGCAATGGCGCTACGAACCCGAATAACCAGAGTTCGATTACCGCTCACGACCAAATACCATTGACGATTAACTAAACCGGTTCTGCGGCTCCCCTAGGCTAAGCCGTAAATGAGTAACTGGTACGGTGTGTCAACATCGGCACTAGGGAGACAAAGGCGGTCGGGCGTGGTGCTGGCCACCCACCCGCTTGTGTCGCGTTGGTCCCCTAACAGCACTTTCCCCAACATCCTGAGTAGGCTACATGCATGGGGAGATATTTTGTCGTTATCTATACAAATAGTATATGGGAGCTCAATATAAATTATGCCATTGTAAAATAAGAAAGACGCTACTGGAACTACATTACACTGAGACACCTGCGGTGCAGAGATGAACGTTCCACGTGGCACACGAATCCGGCGCAGGGGAGCCGAGAGCACGCGCGTGTGCGTGGTCGTGATCGATGCGCCGGGATGAGCAGAGGAGGAGGCCACGGCTGCAAGCGGTGATAGTGCAACACAAAATACAAAGATCCCCCGTATAGCCTGAACACACTGTTGGGGCAAGTGCTGTTAGCCAGCACCAATAAAGGCCGGCCTGGCACACGATGGGGTGGGTGGCCAACACCACGCCCCATTTACCTCCCCAGTGGCGATGTTTACACACCGCACCAGGTACTCATTTGAGGCTGAGTCGACCTAGTGGAGGCCCATGGCCGGTTCAGATAATCATCACTGGTGTTTTCCGTGAGCGGGAATCGAACTCGGGGCGCCAGGTTCGTAGCGCAACGCGCTAACCGCGACACAACCGCTCCTTACGATAGTGTACAAAGATCCCCCTTATAGCCTTGACCGGACTATTGGGACAAGTTGCTGTTCACCAGTGGCACCTATGAAGGCCGGCACGGCACACGGGGTGGGGGGGTCAGCATCACGCCCGGCCGCCTTTGCATCCCCAGTGATGACGATTGCCTGCACATCGCACCAGGTACACTTACTTTAAGGCTGAGTCTACCTAGCGAAGGCACAGGGACCCGTTCAAATATTCGCCACTGTTATTGGTCGCAGGCGGGAATTGAAGGCTGTCTTTCCGGGTTCGTAGCGCAGTGAGATGACCACTACACTACCGCTCCCCACGCATTCGAAACACGACGCAACACAATCCTCGCCCTCGGTAGCCTTTAACAGACTGGTTGGGGCAAGCGCTCTTAGCGAGTAGCAGGCACCTATCACGGAGGGAACGGCACACGAGGCATCGGGTTGCCTGCGCCACGCCCGACCGCCTTTGTCTCCCCAGTGGCGATGTTTACACACCGCACCAGGTGGTCATCGAGGCAGAGTCGTGCCATTCGCATGGCGCTTTTGCCAGGCCACGTGCACTTTAAAGCCACGTGAAGTGTCGAAGGTTCGCTGGCAGGTCACGGGACAGACCCAGGTGTTATGGGTTAACTGACTGAGATGACTGTGCCCCCTACTGTGCCAATTTGCTGTGTTTTAGCTGCCTGGCGTTGTTGTGAGCGTCGCTCCTCTGCCCTCCGCTGTTGTTGGAGGGCGACTGCTTCCAACTGCCCAGTAGCAGCAGCGTCTTTCACGAGCCTCCTCCGCAGAGACCGATTTTGACACCGCTGGTACCGGTCATCGGAGCTCCACGTCCTCTTGTACCACGTCTCTTCTCTAACACGTGCCGCGCCCGTTTAGCCCCCTCTATGCGGCCAAATAAAGGCTGTTTGGGTACGCGGTCGCTGCGTTGGCTGGGGGCTGCATGCCCCCAGTCAACGCAACCTCGTGTTCACACGCACACACCCACAACAACCGCCGTTCGCCACTAAGTGGCGGTCTTTGGCTCCCCTAATGCTGTTGTTTACACACACAGTACTTATGTGAGACCGGGTCGACCAGTGAGACGTGCGGGGACTGGTTTACTTCGTCACTGAAGTTATCAGTGACTGAGAACCGAACGCGCGTAGACGGCTTCGCATCGCGCGAACAAATGCACCATCGCTCCAGCAATTGTACACAGCAAAGACAAAAATTCCCCGTATAGCATTAACAGACTATTCTAGATTTGAAGCTTTCGTGACTGCAAGGATCCATACTCTTTGGTTCTATTCGGTAAAGTCACGTAGGTAAAAAAATAAAACAAAAATCACGACGTTTCGGCCACAACACAAGCGGCCTTCATCAGGTGAAGGGACCAGACTGTCTCGAAGACTGCGCTGGAGTGAAACACAGCCGTGCTCAGACCACGGCTTATAAGCTTATAAGCCGTGGTCTGAGCGTCACTCCACCGGTCTTCGAGACAGTCTGGTCCCTTCAACTGATGAAGGCCGCTTGTGTTGTGGCCGAAACGTCGTGATTTGTTTCATTTTTTACCTACTTGACTTTACTGAATAGAACCAAAGAGCATTAACAGACTGTTGGGGCAAGTGCTGTTGGGCAAGCACCCTACGAAGGCCGGCACGGTACACGAGGGTGGATGGCCAGCACCACGCATGACCGCCTTTGTCTCCCCAATAGCGATGTTTACACTCCCCACCCCACTATGGACTTATTTGAGGCTCATTCGACCTAGGGGAGGTCCGGGACCGGGTCAGATAATCGTCACTGTTGCTGGCCATGAGCGGGTTTCGAACTCGGGTAGGTGGGTTCGTTTGCGCAGCGCGTTAATCGCTACACGACACCACCGCTCCCCATTGTTTACGCAGCGCGCACACACACACACACGCACGTGCCAGTTAGTGCAAGGCTGCCCACAAGCGGTCACTGCAATTCGTGCGATTCTGTCTTGGCGCGCGGTTTCTCGCACTGCGCGGGCACGAAGCCGGCCACATGCCGAGTTCGACTTCCGACCGCGGCCAACTTGAGTGTCGAGCGACAAACCGAGCCGGTTCTGTCCTAACCCCCCCCCCCCCCCCGCTGCGCCTTCACACACCCGAACCGTGCAGGGTGGCGAAGTATAGGGAGGCCTTCGTCCAGAAGTGGATTGACACCGGCCTAAAAATGATTGACGCCATTCTCACATGCGTAATTTACCTTAACTTCGATCGTTTCTCAGTTCGCATGACCTGGCGAGGGTCGCGGCGGCAGCGTGTCGAGTAGTGGCGGTCCAGACCTCTCTTTCCCCGGCGACAAACTCTAACATTACACTATACACTACACTGCTATACACGGGACTCTAGCTCTTCCTGCGGAATTCACAGGCCAGCCGAGCGACATCGTCGCGCCAGCAACGTGTGCTAGGCCGGCCCAGGGGTTCTTCGCCCAGTGGGACGTTGCTGCCCGGTAGAGCTCCAGGTCCACGTCAAAGAATACGCTTGGCTACCAGACTTCTCATTCGCTTCCTAACTCACCAATTTGCTCCAACCTGCGTGGTGAAGCGTGATCAAGCAGCCACCGCATGACCGTCAAACGGCGTGGGGAGGTTTTCATCCAGCAGTGGTTTCGAAAGGGGCTGTACATGACCATTTATAAGCGTATGGCTAGTGTGAAAGAGTAGGCCAACATACCCTCCGAAGGGGTTCTCTTGAGCTACCCCAAGCCGTGTGACCCTTCTGTCAGCAGGGACGTGAGCGGGAAATTGCAGGGCTAGACCTTTAACCGATTTCTAGAGCAAAACCATTCCTGGAGTGGTGATGTTGCTGCTGCGTTGGTAGTGGTGCACGAAAGCACGAGCAACCAAACAAACCTAGCACATTCGACAATAACATTGTGGCCTTAAAAGATAATATACATATCGAAATAAATTTAATAGAATACGACGTTTCGATTGCAACACAAGCGACCATCATCCAAACCTAGTAAACTTGGAAATATGCAATACAACACACAGTCGGCCAACAAAACAGTCAACACCCCACCTGGTTGATTACGTTCTTCCAAAGATTGCTAATTTTGAGACAAAACGTAGACACGAGTAATTCCTGCAGTCACGAAAGCTTCGAATCTAGTTTATGAAATACATATATGCGACGTTTCGGGCAATGGCCCTTCATAGCACATTTCTTTCACATTGTCTACCATGCAGTTTTTTTACGTACACGAGATTTCACAAACGTGAATTTGCGTGCTTTGAAGGCGGTCCATTTCCTGAAACGTTACCTATATTATCTATATTTTTTTAGGCCAGTGTTACTGATGATTGCGTTGAGTTGTCTATCTATATATACGCGTGTGACCTACATACCCAGATGAGAGCTCATACAAAGAAACACAAGTGTGTGTTTTGCAAGTGTGGAAGAGATAAACACCGTTCTAATGATGATGGGCCCAATCAATCGCTACGAGCGAGTTAACGCGAGGGTAATTGTACCTCAAACACAACCAGAGCACCGTGATTTTGAGAGTACAAAATTGTTTGGCGGTGTTCGTAATTTCTCAGGATCAGCACACGCGTCTCTCTCTATCACTCTCTCTTGCCTACCCTCCTCGTCGAATTACAAATGAATCGTCACTTTTTCTTATAAATTGCTCAATTTTAAAAGAAAATTCGCAGGCGTTGCCCGGCACTCCCCACCGCCCCCCCCCCCCCCCCCCCCCCCCCCCCCGAACAGGTAAGCCGTAATTATATTTAAAACGGTTGTGTGTGAAAAAATACAAGCGCACACACACTTTCTCTCAACGCCCCGTTCAATTCACGGGCGTGTATTTTCGTGTAATGTTTTCGTGTGGTCTCTGCCTCTGCGCTTTGTCTTAAATTGGCTTGTGGCAAGTGATGATGCAAATGCGAACGCATCACTCGTGCCACTGGCGGTGCTGTCGGCTTCTAGCAAACTCACAAGAACATTACCGTTCATGAGATTCACTGTCATCACGATGCTGACCGTGATAACGACCTTTTTCATTAATGCAGGAAGGCTACGCCGAGGCTTCATTGAGACGATGTCACAGACGGGCCGCGTATTGGCGGAAAACTGCCGCAGGGTGACGGTCAGCGCACTGGACGACTTTCACCGTTGGAGGTCGCCGGTACGATCTCCCGGCGCGGCAGCTCAAACGATGGTGCAGGTTTCTTACACGCCACCGCCACGTCGACCCAGCAGTATAAACGGGTTACACCGGGGTTGTCGATCCGCATGGTCGCGTGTGTGGGTGGGGTAACGCGCGAGTGCCCCAACCTCTTTCTAGACTTCTGGCCAGCGTGAAAGAGTAGGCCAAATAACCTTCGAAACGAGCACCCCTCTTGGAGCTGCCTCTAGCGGAGGCCCTTCCACCAGCAGTGATGCGAGCAATATACTCCCAGGGCTACACCTTTGTCCTGCCTATAGTTCTCATCTGATAAAATATAAACCCAATCCCCGTCCATCAATCACTCTTCCTCCCTCGCCGACAATCGCGCCGAGCGTGCGTCAAAACGCACGAGCGAGTACAACGATGGAGGTGCTGATGACCCCGTTTCCTTTTGCCGGGAGCTCAAGTTCATCGACGCGGGGAAAAAGAGTCACCCCCCCCCCCCACCAATGAAAAAAAGGCCACCTACATGTGATACTGGCTGCCCGAGGCAACTGGCGAGGGAGGGATCTAAACCGGCGAAGCGAACGAACACCTCTTTGGATGACCTGCTCCCCCCCCCCCCCTCCAGGGAGGAGAGGCGACAGCCCAGCCAATGTCTGCACTGTCGGCGTTAAAACGAGTCTGGGCATCGGAGCGTGCACATGGCAAGGGCCCCCCTGTGGATATCAGAAATGAAAAATGGGACAATGCCAGGTGATGCGCTGCCATAGAGGGGCAAGCACTCGTTAAGCAAATGTTACATCTATCCCAAATCAAACAGCCACCAATTGTAGTCCAACTCCAATCATAACCAAATAGCCAACCAGACACTAATACTAGTTCTACTCATAACACTAAGTAGTCAACCAGCGACTAGTACTAACCATACTCGTAACAGTAACCAACGAGCTAACCAGTGAATAGGACTGGTCCTACTCCTAATCCCAACTCGACAACCAGTCACTTTCACTGGTCCTAGTGGATAGTGACCAACTGGCCCATTAGCCAAGCCCAGCTACAACCAAGCAGCCACGAGTACTACCCCAAACCCCAACGAACGAGCCCCATCACAGCGGTGCGCGTGTGTGCACCACGCGTAAGCAAAACATAACCTTGTGCTGGCAGTTGGTCGGATGGCCATGCGCGTGTCGCGTCCGTAAATCTCGGGCAGCAATTAAACGCAGAGATGTTTATCGACGCACGACAACGCGCGCTTTGAGATTTTCTGCGTTGTTTTTTTTTTGTCCCCGGAGCGGTGTGGCAAGCGCGTCGACATTGGAGCAGACGAAACGCCGCCGCTGCGACAGCAACGGTGGCTGTTCGTGGTGATACGTGAGCCACCCTTACAATCAATCGGGCCATCGACGCGGGCCGATTAAACTGTCACCATCATGCTCTTTTGTAGGACAATAGCAGGACAATGAACCATCCCCACACGCCTGCCGTGCCCGCTCGGCCCACGCTAACTCTTATGCCGTGTTAACAAAATCAACACGGACGCCGTGTTGCTGGTGAACCAAGAAGACACGTTTGTGCAGTTTTACGTCGCGAAATGGGCTCAGGATCCTGTTGGATTTCCCCGACATCAGCCATATGGCGCAAAGCATTAAAGTTAAGGTCAGAGCAGATGTAACCAAGAAGACCTTTCATTTATGTTTACAATGGCAGCAAAACTTCACATTTCGAAGGTGAAATAAAACGTTGACATTTTAACAGTGCACGCTTTAGCGGCATATTAATATTGACGAAATGGCCAGCACTTGTAGAGGCAGGTTCATTACAATGGTTTATGACAACCTGGGGGAGAAAAAAAAAGAACAAACATAAACTTGAGATGTTATTATACACGATGTTTGAGTCGGCCCAAGTTATGCACTGCATCTAAGCTCTGCGGCTGCAATGTTATTCATTAACACAAGTCATTATAACATCCACTTTTATTACGGGTGTCAAACATGATTAATATTTAACGAAATAAACGATCACTCATTTTTTCTTCTTTTTCTTCGTCTTCTTGTGAGCACGTTCACCGACATCGGCATTTGGGATTTCCTCCTCCGACTGTTTGTGTTTAGACCTTTTCCTCAAAGCGTGTTCATCCACAGCGGCTGCATCGCTCGGCGGCTCCTCTCTCTTCACCGCCACGTGCTTCTCCGTCTCCTCTTCCTTCTTTTTCTTCTTCTGCTTTTTCTTCCGAGCCTCTTCCTCGTCTTCTCGTTTGACCGGATACAGCTCCGTGTCGTCAACGGCTATGTCCGCCACTTTGACGTCTGCCGCGCCTGCGTCGCCCGCCACCGTGCTGCGGCTGCTCGTCGTCCCCGCAGCCACGTGCCCCTCTCCCCCCGCATCGTCCGCATCGTCCGCGTCCTTATCTCGCCGTTTCTTTTTCTTCCTCCGAACGGAAGGCTCATTCTGCTCCGCTTCCACCTTGGGAACTACGCAGGAATACGCCGAGGGAGAGGCAGCCTCCTCCCTTATCAGATCCCACGATTCCATCTCTGTTTTCACTTCTACGCCGTCATAGGCCTCGTTTCTGATCAAGTCTGCTGCACAAACTCCCTCCCCCATGGCCGTTTTCTCCTTGTCTCTGCTCTTTTTCTTCTTTTTCCTGGAACGAGACTCAGTCGATCCCTGCTCGATCTTTACCGCTGCACACACACCTTCTGACAATTCGCTTATCTCCACAGCTGCCAGTGGCGCCTCTTCCTTCCTATCCTTTTTGCTTTTCTTCTTCTTCTTCTTAGGTTTAACCTCCTCCTTCCCTCCCTCCTCGCTCTCTCCTGCCGCGTCCTGCAGACATAGCAACGGCGACTCGGTTCCACCGCTTCTCGTTGCTGCTTCTGGACTCGCCTCGTTACCGTTACGTTCTTCCGCGCCCTCTTCTTTGACCTGCACCGCCAAATTGCTGCCGTCCACAACCGCTGGAGCCGCCACCTCCCGGTTCTTCTCCCTGTTTTTCTTTTTCCTGCCGTGAGCCTTGCCGTGGCCCTCCTCGGGTTCCACTTTCACCTGCACAGCGAGTGGTGCGGCCGGAACAGTCTCATCCCTAGATTTTTCACGCGATTTTTTGTCCCCCTTTGCCCGTTTGCTCCAATTGGGTTCATCCTTCACCACCAATTCAGGCCCGACGGCCAATTTCCTTTTTTTCCGAGTAGTTTCTTTTCTGTCCGCAATGTGCCCCTGAGCGCCGGCTGGCTGGCTGTATCCGAAGGGCTTAAACCTCTGCCGGAGACCCTCAGGGATGCGCGGCGGAGGAGGAACAGGAACCGGATGAATCTTTCCACTGCCATTTGCCATCCCAACCGCCTCCTCGGTGACGGAGATCATTCCCTTCAACACTGGAGCCCACTGCAACCTGTCTCCTCCCTTCTCCACAGGCAGCACCACGCCCGTCTTGGGCATCCCTTGACAGCTGCTCATGATTCTGTAGTGCTTGTTCTCCTTGTCCAAAGTAACGCGTTCGAATCCCTCCAGCGGGATCATCATACCTGCCAAACTAGAAAACACGTTTGTATTAATTTTCTGAATTGTTGATTGGCCGCAACTATTGATTGAGTTTTCATCACAAAGCACGACGTTCATTGCACTGCTTGACATCAGCGACATTCAGGAACTGAAGGTTTCGAAGCGAGACGTCGGACATCACGGTGAACGACACGCGGTACAACCCGAAAATATATCAGAGCTGTACAGCGCAACGGCGAAAATAACTAAAGCTATGGTATAACATTGTCTGCAATATGAATTCACATGCAAGGAAGTGCATTTTGAAATGTGTAGCAGTAACCTGAATATGGGAACCATGCCAGGATTATCTGAAGCTTATTAAGCGTGTAACACTCATCACATTTTTCTCAATTAAAATCGATTCTCATACTGGAAAGACCCATTAAATAGTGCCCCCTAGAATGGATTACTCACAGTTCATGCCAATTGTAAATATAAAGTCAACGGCGTGGACAAGTGGACAGACAAGACGGAACAAGAAATACTGAAAATGGGACCAAAAGGAATCGATGCCTCTGGAATCGAATTCCAACCCCGATTCATACAAAAAAATCACTGGGTAGAGGGGAGCGGGGAGGGGGTGGCTACATTGTACAGAATAATACTAAAAATGATCATCTACACTCGTAAAGCACTGGAGGTCTGAAAGTGCTGTACAGAAGTACAAGTATAAATATAAACATGCATAATGAAACAAAAACTGTAAAAATCGAATGAAAGCACGCAGGCTAGTGATAAGAACACAAAATAAAATAAACACCCCAAAGGCAATATATATTCATATACATTTTTTCTGGGTTAGATCACGTGAATATGTGTTGTTAAACCCGCCACCACCCGACAGAGCCAATGTGTAAGGTTTGTCACGTAAACAAAACATGCCAATTCATAACTAGTCCAGCACACCGGCGTGTTTGTGAGTGAACCCACAACATTTACAATTCGAGTACGACGTTTAGCCGTTGATTACAACTAGCATCATCAGGTGACACATTTATATTTACACGCTCTAACCCAAAAAAAAAACCCTATTATGAATACCTAGATGTAAAGCAAGTGAAAAGATGCTTAAGAAGAAAATTGCTGATGCTTACCACTGTGGAGAGAAGTCTGTCGGTGCCTGGATAAGCCATACTTCAGTAGAGGAGGCCTTGGCACTTTCTACCGTGAGACCGCCGAGTGGAATGTAGGCACCCTCCTCGAAATCCGGGGGGCACTCAAACACGTTGCTTGAGATTTCTGTAAAAAAAGTAAAATTTTCAGAGTTAATACACATTCACTATCGCCAATGCTCACATTGCACTCTTTCGTGCCGTTTGTAAATCCACCGCTGGATGGATGTATGATGAACTTTTTTTCCACCGTATCAATCGTTGGCTCGAGCGAGAATTAATTAAACTGTGCTCGTACAGCTGCGCACATACAACAATGATGTCCCTTGAGTAGCCCTTATTGTTATATTTATTACAACAGTTCAACTGGACAATTTTTTGTGTATGTTGAACTTCTTTCGTACCGTACGTAGCCAACCGTGCTAATCGGAGGTGTGGGGGAAGGGACATCAAATTAAACACAACATGCAGTTCGAAAGAAATTCGTTTTAAATCTAAATTTAAAATTGCATAGCTCCAGTAGCTTCCGAATATCGGAAGCGCGTTCCAGACGGCCGTGCTGTGCGGGTGACTAATTATTTGACCAGGCTGGACAATGTGGGTGGGTGCAGGTGGGGAGCACGGACGTCGGGTGCGTGGCAAAGTACAATAATTTTTTTGTGCGCTCTGCTGCACTGCCCTCTGCCGACAGCTGCCATCTGTGCACAAACGTCGTCGTAAGAAATGCAGTGCAAAGTCTTGCAACAGCACATAAACATAATTTGCTGTTCGTGAGAATCATTCGCGCCGTGATGAGATGCGACATCTGGCAACCCTCCTGCTCGTATTATAAATTAATGTTGTGCATGGTGCTTTTAATACATATCTGTGCTGCAACAATTTTTGCCCGTCGCATGGCCAAAATATGCTTGCTGATAATAATTATCTGGCGAGACACGTGTGACGTTGCACGCCATCACTAAATTTCAGCTGGCAGTCACAAGTAATTGAAACGCACCATGGCTACTCTCAAATAAACATGAGATGCGTCTGATCTCGGAAGCTAAGCATGCTTGAGCCTGGATACTGCTTGGATAGTCGATCGCCATCCCAAAAACACCGCTGTAGTCTACTGTGAGGCTACGTTACGGGCAGCAGAGGGCAATGCAGCAAGATGCCTTGCTTTACTGTACTACGTTCCCGTGTCTATGGCTCCCCCAACCCACACTGACCAGTGCTGAAGGATAGTCAAATAAGGCCCCGGCGACAATCCAACAGTGGATTGAACAGGGTTCTACACGTACCTTTCCCTTAACTAAGCGCGAGTGTTGTTCAGTTAAAGTTTGGGCTCGGGTTACTGATGCGGTTCGTCCTAAGGGGAGGGGGGGGGGACACTCTATTTGGTTGCGTTTGCTCCGATTTATATTTGCTTCATTGTACTTATTTTTTTTTCTATTATTCCTTGTCAGTTCGGTGGCTCGGGTCAGTTTTGCAAATGGGACCATCTTACGTCTTCTAATTTCTCACCCGATTAAACGAAATGAACTTGAAACGTATTGTAGAAAGAAGCTTCAGATGACACCATCAACGCAGATTCATTATGTTGACCCCGGGGCCTTAAACATGGTTGGTTTTTCTTCTTTGGTTCTTTCGGTAAAGTCACGTAGAATGAGAATAAAATAATAAATTGATAAAATAAAATAACACAAAAATATTCTCACGACGTTTCGGCCACAACACAAGCGGCCTTCATCAGGTGAAGGGACGAGACTGTCTGGAGGACAGCGCTGGAGTGAAAAAGCCACGCTCAGATCACGACCTTTAAGCTGTGTGAGAAGAAACAAAGCGCCTTGACAAAGGAATTAGCATAGAATTTAGCATTGAAAAAAGCGCCTTTCTCAAGGCGCTTTGTTTCTTCTCACACAGCTTAAAGGTCGCGATCTGAGCGTGGCTTTTTCACTCCAGCGCTGTCCTCCAGACAGTCTCGTCCCTTCACCTGATGAAGGCCGCTTGTGTTGTGGCTGAAACGTCGTGAGAATATTATGTTATTTTATCAATTTATTATTTTATTCTCATTCTATGTGACTTTACCGAAAGAACCAAAGATGAATCCTTGCAGTCACGAAAGCTTTAAATCGAAATGGTTGTTTTTTTTTACACGCTTTCTATTAACTCACTGTCTGTTGTTGTATCCTCAAATCTTGTAACTCAATTTTAACCCACTTCCCAATGTGGTATCGACTGCAAAGTTGTTATACTTATGTTATACTGATGACAATACTATATTCTATCATAAAAATAAAAAATAAAAATTTCAAACAATCTTTTTTTACATGTAATGTTTCGCCTTGGGTCTCATTTTTCCACGCTCAACTCACGCTGGCTGTAAATCACCAGGGTCCCTTACGTTATGGCAAGCTTCGGGGCCACTTCCTGGAGTTGTGGAGTTCTTCCATTACGAGTACGGTACATTTCATTAAAGCGTATTTAAAAAATATATATATATTACAGGTAGTCCCCGACTTACGATATTTCGATCTTACGATGGCGATAGCGATATGACAAAATTGTAAAATATATTTGATTTCACGCGGCAGGCAAACGCAGCAGCGTACGAGGTACGAGACTAACTTTATCATCGCCATCCTCCTCTTCCGACAACTAAGTTAATGTAGCCATCAACAACCTAACATCGTTCAAGTATGCAGACGACGGACAGAATCTTGGCGAGTACAGTAGAATATGATACGTTACGATACGTTCAATGCATGTATGATACATATAGCTTTAGCGATTTAATTTTAGGGTTACCACGATACGATACATACGTTCAATGCATGTTAAAAGTTTTTTTATAGCAGATAGGATTGTTTCCTGAAAAAAAACTTTCAATGAAATTGCAGTTCATATAGGTAGGCTAAGCATTTACCTTGTTTTTTACTTTAAATTGTACTGTGCAATACGGTATTGCAATTCATAAATACATACAGTATATAGTTTATACAGTTACCTTACTGTAAATTGCTCTGTTTTGCTAAATTATCACCATTCTTTAAGAATCCTGGGTAGGCTAGGCCATCTTCGACTTACGATATTTTCGACTTACGATGGGGTCATCGTAACGAAATCTCTATCGTAAGTCGGGGACTATCTCTAGTGGAGGTAGCTGTCGTTACGGGCCATGATGCGCTGTTGCAAAGATCGTGTTGTTCTCCAATCTTTACTACGACCTACACGTAGAGTCAAAGACGACGGTTGTCTTTGGAGCTCGGAGTTAAGTCTGTTATACTTTTTTGTTCATTATTATTTTAAAACACACGGTACTTTTTTTACCCGCAGGGGTAAGTCGACATGGGACTCGGCCTCAAATAATTACCCGGTGCGGTATGTCAACATCGCCAATAGGGAGACAAAGGCGGCCCGGCGTGGTGCCGGCCACCCACCACCACCACCCCGTGTGCCGTGCCCGGTCTCCATAGGTGCTCGCTAAAAGCACTTGTCCCAACAGTCCGTTAAGGTTATACGGGGAACCGTTGTCTTTGTGTCCCAAGCAGAAAAACGTCTTTTTTGTCTCTGCAGGACGCAGCGAAAGCGGCGATCAACATCCAGCCGCCCAAGCCACGCGGCGCGCCGCTTCTCTCAAGCCGATCCCTATGCTGGGATGATACTTCCTGCCCGACCAGGGATAAAGGAAGACCACCGTGCATTAGTGCATGCTTTCTTTCATTCAGGGTATATTTCTAACGAATGGAAAGGTCGACTTTGTGAACGCCTGCCTTGGTAGAGTTCGCCAGTCTGATATCCTAGTGTCCTGCCCATCGCAGCTGATGCTTTCCTCGGAAGTGTTTCAATGTCTTGGACTTAGCATGGCCGTCCCGTCCAGTAAACCTCATCGTTGGTCACTCTCTTAATTTGCATGGCATTAAGTAAATTGAAGGCCATCACGAATCAGGGAGTCGAACCGGTTGGTTGTCGGATATGGTTCGGGTTAACCTAAGACAAACTTTTGAAACCTCTACGGTTCAAAATAGTCTTCAGTGGGTGGGTTACGGTTAACACAAGTGACGCTTTTGGAACATGCGTAGCATCCAGATTTGGTTCTCGGACAACACATAGTTTATTTCTTAAACTGTTTTATTTTACCAGGTAAGGCCCACTGAGCTTATATCGCTATTATTCAAGAGCGACCTGGCCCGCAAATCATAGCGCATCGAAGTCGTTTGTCACGTGGAAAGTTAAGGCAGCAAAATACTCTAAAGCAGTGGTTCTTAACCTGGGTTCGATCGAACCCCAGGGGTTCGGTGAGTCGATCTCAGGGGTTCGGCAGAGCCCCCGCCACGGAGGTCCGGACACACTTGAATTATTGTGTAAATTTGTGATGACACACACGGCCCGCTTGGCCATCACTGGCTGCAGATGATCATGCTACACTGCTTGGCCAATCAGCGCTGCGGGGAATTTAGTGCGTACTCAGTAGTCAACGTGTGACTGTTGTTGTCGTACGTCGTGTGATTTCTTTAATATTTTATCCATACTAACTATGTCGGGCAAAAGAAGAAAGTGGTCGGACGAATATGTACAACATGGATTCTCATGTATCATGGAACGTGATGGGAGTGAGCGTCCTATCTGCATGATTTGCAACGCCAAGTTGAGCAACTCTAGTCTTGCACCGGCAAAACTAAAGGAACACTTCTTGAAGCTGCATGGAGACGGGGAATACAAGAACACAACACTTGCTGAATTCAGGGTGAAGAGAGCCAGATTCGATGAAAGGGCCACTCTGCCTGCTCTTGGATTTGTACCTGTTAACAAACCGATCCTGACAGCATCGTACGAAGTTGCTTACCTGATCGCAAAGCAGGGCAAGCCACACACCATTGGTGAAACACTTGTGAAACCAGCTGCATTAAAGATGGCGAATCTGATACTCGGAACAGCGGCCGAAGGTAAATTATCCCAAATTCCCCTTTCAAATGACACCGTCAGTGACAGAATAGAAGACATGAGTAAAGACATCTTGGCTCAAGTAGTCGCGGATCTGATTTCAAGCCCGGCAAAATTCAGCCTTCAACTCGACGAAACCACAGACGTTTCTGATCTAAGCCAGCTTGCTGTTTTTGTACGCTATGTGAAAGACGACATGATAAAAGAAGAGTTTTTATTATGTAAGCCTCTTACAACAACAACGCAGGCAGCCGATGTGAAGCTTGTGGATGACTTCTTCAGAGACAACAATCTTTCATGGGATATGGTTTGTGCAGTTTGTACGGACGGAGCTCCAGTCATGCTGGGAAGAAAGTCTGGTTTTGGTGCGCTAGTAAAGGCCGATGCACCACACATCATTGTGACGCATTGTATTCTGCACAGGCATGCGTTGGCAACAAAAACCTTACCTCCAAAAATGGCAGAAGTATTAAAAACTGTGGTGGAATGTGTGAACTATGTGCGAAAAAGTGCTCTGAGGCACCGCATCTTCAGTGAGCTGTGTAAAGAAATGGGCTCTGAATTTGAGGTACTTCTGCTCCATTCTAATATTCGGTGGTTATCCCGGGGACAGGTGCTGAATCGTGTTTTTGCCATGCGTGTGGAATTAGCCCTGTTTTTGCAAGAGCACCAACACTGCCATGCAGATTGCTTCAAAAATCCTGAGTTCATTCTCATTTTAGCGTACATGGCTGATATATTCGCAGCTCTCAATCATCTCAATCAGCAGATGCAGGGTGGTGGAGTCAATATCATGGAAGCGGAAGAACACCTGAAGGCTTTTCAAAAAAAGCTACCGTTATGGAAACGACGAACAGAGAACAATAACTTCGCAAACTTCCCGCTTCTGGACGACTGTGCAAGTAAGATCGAAGATGTGTCTGGAATCGGAGATATTTCTGTATCCACGGAACTGAAGCAAACAATTGCCACGCACTTAGATGAGCTTGCAAAGTCTCTCGACGGATATTTCCCTACAAGAGAGTCATATCCAGCATGGGTGAGACAGCCGTTCACGTTTGCTGTTGAAACAGCAGATGTCAATGATGACTTCCTCGACGAAATCATTGAAATTCAGCAGAGCCAGGTTCAACAGCAACTCTTCAGAACAACAACGCTCTCAACGTTTTGGTGTCGACAAATGAACAAGTATCCAGTTATTGCTAAGCCCTGGATTTTTTTATACCATTTGTTACAACATATCTTTGTGAGCAATCCTTTTCGAGGATGCTGGACATAAAAACGAAGAAAAGGAACAGACTTTGCTGTGAAAATGACATGAGAGTGGCACTTGCCAAGGTGAAGCCACGCATATCTGAACTGATCTCTCAAAGGCAACAGCAGAAGTCACATTGATTTCCAGGTATGTAATTTGTTGTGAGTTTATGCATTGTGTTGGTTTTATTCTTTGAACAAGGTAATGTTCATGCACGGCTCATTTTGTGTACCAGTAAAAAACATATCTATGTCTTGAATTTGAAAAAAATCACATTTTATTTTTCACTAAAGAGGGGTTCGGTGAATGCGCATATGAAACTGGTGGGGTTCGGTACCTCCAACAAGGTTAAGAACCACTGCTCTAAAGCATGTTTCTACATGTGGAGGGAAGATCGTGCAAATTCCAAATATACAGGCGCCAGGGTCGGGATCGAACCAACGACGTCTTGCATACCGCCATATAATAATGCAGATATAACCACTGCTGAGTACACCGAGAAGTAATATCATCAGATGACCGTAGCCTCTTGCACAGACGACCAACACCGAGGCGGCACTATTAAAGGAAGTTGTCCAGTTCCACATCCAGTCTTCAGTGACAGTGCTGATAACTCATCTACCTCTGAAATGATGGGACTGTAGGATCCTTTTTTTAATCACCGTCGCCTCTATTGCTGAACTCTAATCCGAATTGCCCGCACACACCCCAGAGAGAAGCTATATATGATATTCCGAAGGGCCTGTGCAAGACGGCGTCACAAATGCACTATCGTCTGTAAACTATGCAGTCCCGCATAATGAGCATCAGGCAGTCTGGAGAGGTTGACAACTCCACTGTCAGCACGAAACTTGATGTATCGTCCTCTCAGGTAGCCAAGGTTTGTACAGAACAGCTGCGTAGACGCCAGAGGATTGGCCCAAGCACGCAACCTTGCTTTACACCACACGTCTGGCTGGTATTTGTTTCCGTGAGCTGCCCATCAACACTGAATCTCACTTTCATGTCATCATATAACGCCTTAATGATGTTCAGAAACGTTGACGAACAACCTACCGGCTCCAGTGCCGATCTTTAGGTATTGAGATATATTAATCTTCCCGTGATCTGTCCCGGTTCTCTGTAAACTAAGAGATGTCAGGCCTAACCTCAAAACAATTCTACCCACCGGAGTATTCAATACAAGCCATAGATAGCGCGATCCAAAATACGGACGATATAGCAAACTAAAGTACAGATTGGTCCAGATGTGTCGTGACCCCCTATTAATTCCATTGCTTATTCATTTCTGTTCACCATTGATATTTTTTTTAAATATTAAGTTTTAGAGAATTAAATGAAGTCAAAAGATAGCTGGACCACCGTGTAGTTATGCGCTTCAACGCAAGAATAGCAACACTACACGAAGTCTCTTACAAAGCCCTCTTCTTACGAAGGACATTGGCATTTATCTCAACGCACGTATTGCCCACGCCGAGACTCAGAAAATGATCATTCTGGGCACCCACACACAACGCATAACCTCCGGTGCGTCGCTCCCCGCTCTTACACTCACCGCCCTCAGCTCGCTCGTTCTTACTGTCGGACACTTTGCGGGTACTGTAACCTCGTCTCATCCTTTCCGCTGGAGTTGTTTTTTATAATATCTCGCGAATGCCTCGCGAAGGCCACGCGAAGCTCTGAGCGGAGTCCTCCCCCACGTGGAGTGCGGAACCACGTGGCGCGCGCAACCCTTGACCACACCCACCGGTAGGGGTCAAAGGACAAGGTGGGCGATACCATTGAAGATGAATGGGGAGGGTGGAAATACTGTGAAGCGGTATTTGTATTCTATTGTTTTTTTTATTTTAAAGACAATTGTTTTATTTTTTTCTCACAGATTACTCTATTTATAGGGAATAAATATAATCTGGATTCACAACAAAAGCAACTGAAACGGAGGTAATTGTTTAACACGTACGAAACGGAAGTGGGTTACCCCGTAATCTCGCCTGGCATGTTCATGGGAACCGATTTTCACAATAATTCAATTACTCACTCGATTCATTATAACCCGCATGAAATCGACAAGTTTGGCGAACTATCGCGATATTTTCATGATCGTTAGTAAACGATCAATAACGACTGGAGCCATAATTACTCATGAATTGCGAAAGTTAGCGCAGCAGTTGTGGTGAAACGTTGGGAATCGATTCTCATTGCTTTTAACGTGAAACAAGAGTAGATTGTGGAATCAATCCGGTGTCTCCCCCTTGCGGCAGAGCGTGCATAATTACCCACGTGTCAATCATGGACATTACGCAGCCCTTCTCAATCCACTGCTGGATGAGGGCCACCCCACGTGGTACAGATCACCTGGGTTATTTTTCACCAGGGTTGGTGAATGAGAAGGGGCATAGATGTGGAAGCATTGAAGCTCAGTACAACAATCGAATCGAAAACCGGAAGAACCGCTCATTTTATGAGCTGCCACCAAATACCGAACCGTAATTAAGTTGCTTACTCCGCAATTAAAAACATAGGATTCGCTTATTGGTTTTTGGAAAATGGTTAACCGTAACCCACCCACTGAAGACTATTTTGAACCGTAGAGGTTTCAAAAGTATTTTTTTTAGTTCTTTCGGTAAAGTCAAGTTGAAGGGAAACAATAAAATAATGAAATATATATATAAAACAATAAAATTCTCACGACGTTTCGACTGTAACACAAACAGTCATCATCAGGTGTGAAAACCCAACGGCAAGAAGCATTTGAAAGAAGTGGCGGTTTGTATTTATTAATTTTTTCAAATGCTTCTTGCCGTTGGTTTTTCACACCTGATGATGACTGTGTTACAGTCGAAACGTCGTGAGAATTTTATTGTTTTATATATATTTTATTATTTGATTGTTTCCCTTCAACCTGACTTTACCGAAAGAACCAAGAATATGAATCACTGCAGTCACGAAAGCTTTAAATAAAAAAAATGTAGGTTAACCCGAACCATATCCGACAACCAATCGGTTCGACTCCCTGATTCGGGATGGCATTACATTTACTTCATGAAATGCAAATTAAGGGACTGCAAAGATCCAGAACATTAAATACCACATCTATATTTTATGTATTTTTGTTTACATTTAAAATATTTCATTTGAATAATCCCTTTCGATGGAACATCTTCGTTTGCAACGATGTCCATGGTATCAGCTGACACAAAACAACTATGTCATGACGTACACACAAACATTTTCAATACTGTATATAACGTTTTACAGTAGGCGCTTTAAATATGAACGTGGGATCCAACACCTCCGATTATAGCACGGTTGGTTACGTACAGTGCGAAAGAAGTTAATCATACATCCTTTGAAAATAGCTACTTCACCACTATTCTCACTCCACTGAACACGGAAAACCGTCGCGTGCTACGGAACACGAATACCGATCTGCTTATTCGTACCCAGAACCAGGACCGTCCTGGCTGAGCGGCGTTGCTCCGTAGCTGCACCGACATCCGTCTGGAACTCTCTCTCTCTCTCCCACTGCCACACAAGCGCAGCATCATCCAAGCACCGTCCACCTTCAAACATCAATTCAAGGCTTAAAGCTTTCGTGACTGCAGGAATTCATATTCTTTGGGTCTTTCGGTAAAGTCACGTAGATAGGTTCAAAGAAAATAACAAAAAAACTACGACGTTTCGATTGCAACACAAGCGTTCGTCTATCTACGTGACTTTAACCGAACGACCCAAAGAATATCAATTCAAGGCTCACCTTCCCAGGCTCTCACCTGTCCAGGCTCACTCCTGTCCAGGCTCACTTGTTTAGGCTCGCATGATCAGACTCCCCTGTATAGGTTCACTTGTTCATTCTCACATGTTTGGGCTGACCTGTCCCGGCTGGAATACAAGGGACTTTTGAGCTTTGATTCCGCACCTGAGTTCTCAGTCGACCAATGCATTCAATGTGTGCGAGATTTGCAGCAGTAAATCATTCTCTTCATGATTATTATAATATCCTGATATTATTTTCTGTGGTAGTGTACCAAAGTGGCACACCCAGCAAAATATTTAATGTGCCAGGAAACTACTGGCAGAAATTCTACTGTCCTATGGTGGGCGTAAGCCTATATCCATATGGAAATCATCGTTGATTAACCTCCCCACAAAGCTGTATTATTTTGTAGACCTGATAGGAATACTGGGCTGAGTGAATCCCACAACCAAGATTTGCACTCGCAATCTTCCGATTGGGAGCTGCTGTCTCCACTGCTGAGCCACCAGGCCAGTGAAATTATTCCCACTATAATACATAGTCAACTCAATTCAGGAAATAAAATGTATTGCATATACATTCGTTTTCCTTCTACAAGGTGATCCGTTTATCGATACTCTGCTGATATCTAATGTCTCTTCTAAGTCTCTTCTCAACGGCTGTTTGAATATTGTGAACGCCATGGCTCCATGTCTTAGAGGAGAGTGTTGAACGATTTGTGGAAGATATGCAGAATATTTAAAATGACATGCTGTTTTCTCTGTTCGACTTTCTTACTATTTTAGCAGAGGGAATATAATATATATTTTAAATGCATGTAAATAAAATGAAAACTGTACATCTATTATTCATAATTATTTATTTACATGTATGAATACATCTCAAAAATGCCGTTGGACCTACAACAGCTGTCTAAAAATAATAGGAAGGCAATCCCCCCCCCCCACACCCTCACATGTAATGTTATATGACATTTAGATTATAAATGTATAATATAAATACCCTCTTTACAAAACTCTACCCTGAAACATGTTAATTATCTTGTATTCCCCGCTATCATGCTATAGCACGCTGCGAGACTGGAAGAGGAACCCTTATATCTGGCATTACACACTGAACCATACCTCGAAGCTGAGGAAGTATGTGCATTGCAAATAACCAGGAATCCTACGCACCACTAGGCTGCCTTCCCCAGCACAGCCACGTCTGGAGACTAAAAGTCTCCGCTGGGCAAAATGTCTGGATTTATTTTAAATATATGCAAATGTATATTCAAACATTGTCAAATCTCAAACCTCTCTTCTTTCCGCAAATGTCCCCTCCTTTCACTGCCCTGTTTCCTCTAGCCCTCATTACCTCTTCATCTCAATATTATTGCCGCATTTATTGTTCCCCAAATCTTTCAAGCTATTTTTAACCAGCTTTTCTTAAGTTATGTTTGCAATTAATTACGTATTAACGTGCCGTGTAAAATGCTCTAAGACGTCCTGGCGTGAAGGGCGCTCTATCCAACCAACAAGTTATCATTATTTATTATTCTGACGAGTAGAGGTGATACGCCACAGCCTCGGCTGATGTATCCGTAAGCGTTTATCTGTCCGTATCTCGTGTCTTGCGCCACTGGAAGGGCCGCACAAAGAATAAAGGAGGAAGAGCTGTATCTGGTCCGACACACTGCACCACATATCCAAAGTATGAGGAACGAAAGATGTGGTCATTGCAACTTGTGCCCAACCCATATAATCCCACGGTGACGGCGCAGCAAACAACATGAAACTGCTGACTATTTTAGCCACATCCTACGAAATGACAAGTTACTGCGCCGGATGTGACTCGAAACGCCTTGCAACATGGCAAATCTGGGTGACAGGCCGCCCCACGCCGTGCAAGATCATGCAGATTCTTTCGACCGCATTTCACTGTGTCGGTGAGTGGCGATTGGTGGTTGTCGGGGAGCACTGCCTAAGAGCCTCTTACGCCTGTATCACGACGCAGCGCGGGTGGTATCCCAATGTTGCAGTGTCCGAGCTCAACTTTGCTGAGCTTTCCGTGACTTGACAGGTGCGGGTTGGGTGCATTCCGGACGATTTGATCGCAGGCGAAAAGGCTTATTACAAAGAACGGTTGTTTTCAAGTGCAGCGTGCTGGGTAATTGGTTGAGCTGTGCGCAGGGCCTTATGGAAGCGGTATTCCAAACTTCTATACACGTTGCGTGTAATCAAGCATCTATTCAGCAATTGAAACAGATGTTGACGCTCGTGTTCCCCTGGGTCTAATCATGCGCGCGAGAATTGGCCACCTGTGAAAGGCGCAATTCACACGCGAATGGTTCGACTCAGGCTCTCGAAAAAGCGTTATGTACGACGCTACGTGCACAAAGCAGCACACACGAGAAGCTATACCAACGAGACGGTGAGAATTATACAAAAAATAATCAATTCCTGAATCGTATCGTGCAAGGGGTTGAACGCCACGTGCATATTTGTCAACATAATGTCCAACCTTTGCTATTTGCACCGAAGGGCAGAGTTGTGTGAGATAACCCCTTCATCACTAAGGGGCCGTCCATAAATGACGTCACGCACCTGGGGGGGGTCAGACATTGGGACGATGTGTGACGAAGGGGGGGGGGGGGATTTAGAAATGTGACGTCACGTCAAAATGCGCAACTTTAAATAAATATAGTCAACACGTTCTACTTAATTAAATAGACTTTTTAATACATGTTTTCTCCTACAACATCAGAGTGCAGCGCCACATTAAATATGCACTACAATGACAATCGTTTAAAGCGATTTGAAGCATGTTTTATATATATATTTAGGGGGGGGGGGCAGAGCTTTGTGACGTCATATTTGAGGGGGGTCTGACTTTTTGTGACGTCGTGTGACGAAGGGGAGGGGAGTCAAAAATCGTCCAAAATCGAGTGACGTCATTTATGGATGGCCCCTAATGAGGAACCGACTGCCTATGGGCCAAATGCGCCCCACAACTGAATTTCACGCCAGTCCGTGGCCACATTAAAAACTTA